GATCCAATGGGATTGTGGGATTGAGCACCATGCGAGACACTGGAGGGGGGTACCCCAGTATCGAACCAAAGGGTTAAAGGTCAGCACCGTTTTGGGGATGGGGTACAGTTGGCTCGACTCCCTCAAAGTCTTCATTTGTTGACTCAGACTTTATCTGTGGAGTAGGTGATTGATACAAATTCTTCCCAATATTGCAGCCTCCACATCAGTGTTTATTGTACACATCAGAGTATGGCAACTGTGTACAAGATAGAAGTGAACAAATGAAATCCAGAGTGATACATCCTGTCAATTTAACTTTGAATTTCCCCACCCAGCATGGGGTCAGTAATTTTCTGGAACCAATGATAAAAATACTGAGCATTTGCTCTTTCCTCTGCAGTGTCCATCACAGCAATCGCATTTCAAAGTGCATGAATTTGCACTCACTATGTTAATGCGTATCTCTGAAAGGCTGGGCATCTCGATTACAGCCGGCTTGACAGGAACGTGAGGATAAACACAGATTCCTCTTCCCATCCCATGCTGTTGTTACATCTGTTGCTATGAAAACAGTTACCTACAAAGACCTGACTGGTCAGAGCTAGGCGTGCTCTATCCAATCAAGATAAAACTCATATGCCATTGGTCTGTTTTCTATGAAATACTCTGCACTTTTCACCTTTTGGAACCACTTTGATGGAAGCTCAGGCTGAGACATGGTTCTTATCAACCAAACTGATACATATTTCACTGTAGCCTCACACCTTCAGGGCTGCTGAATCGCATCTGGCTCCCAGGTGAAGTTCCCTCCCACTGCCCAGAGAGTGGTACCCTGGTCGGTCCTCACCAGAGGTAGACATTTCAGGTCCAGAAAGTGAAAATCAAGACTAAGATTCTGTCACAGAGTACTCGACTGGTTGGTTGAAACAAAATCTCGGTCTGCCTTTATACTTTCTGAACCTGAAATTTCCAGCTCTGTTGCTCACATGGATAAGATCCAAGCACATCTTGTGTTGGACATTTGTTTTGGAAGATAGTTAGATTGCTATTTTGGCCCTGATCTCTATAGTGCTGTTGAATGTTGTCTTGAGTCTTCGGTCTTTATGACTTAATGCACACTGGACAGCTTGTGCCACAGCTTTATACATGGGGGCTGTGATCCCACTGCATCGGTGCCTAATCAGTCTCACATTCATAGCACCAGTCTTCTGTCTCCCAGCATCGGTAAGGCACAGGTACCACGGTGGAAAAAGACCTAGATATGCCAGCAGGAGGACTATCCCCTGACCTTGTGTGAAGCAGATGGTTGGAGAGTGTCTGCCGGAAACTGTGGTGATGTAAGTTCATTTGCGTGATTTCAGTTTGGACAGATTTGTGTACATTACAGCCCAGGTGTCTTGTGGGTGGTTGTTTTTTGACTCGACAGTTTACATGAACGCACTTGTGCGGTTAGTTGATGCAGCTGAAAACTACCAGCGAAATAAGTGCAGATTGGCAGAAAAAAAAAAACAAACTCTCGAAAGGGAAGAGTTAGCTAGCACCCCCATCTGGATTGTAAGGACTCTCCATGTCAGATTCCCAAAGCCCCCTCCCACACCCACCCAGTGAGCACTTATCTGAACTCCCACACACACACATACACACAGTCAGTAATGCTGTAGTAATAGGCCCTCTTGGCTAGGGAGTGGGGTCAGGCCTTGTATTTAATGAGGTAGGCCACCTCTTTGCTGCCTGCTGTGTCTTTTTAGTGGTGAATTGGAGGGACAGCTGTGAATGCAGGACTCTTTCAGTGGAGTGACCGGGACGCCCTTGGGGGAGAACCCTACCATCTGTCTGCGTCACTGTGTCTGTCTGTCTGTCTGTCAGTCTGTGCCTTTCTGTCTGCATTCTGTTTCTCCATGACTGAGCCTCTCTCAGTATCTCTCTGTCTCTCTGCCTGTATATGTGTGTGTGCCTGTATCAGTCTGTCTGTCTGTCTGTCTGTCTGTCTGTTTATGGGTTTTTCTGGCTCTCTTAAGATAGTACTTCCTGAAAATCAAGCTTTGTGTTGATGAATGAGTGCAAATATGCCTGGAATGTTTTATTCTCTGGAGGGGAGGTGGGGTATTTTAAGCCAATAATCACATTAAAGTTGAGTCAAACGGAAGTTCCTGTAGAGACAGGAGAAGAAAAATTCTGTGCCTTTCTGTCTGCATTATGTTTCTCTGTGTCTGTCAGTCTGTGCCTTTCTGTCTGCATTATGTTTCTCTGTGTCTGTCAGTCTGTGCCTNGTCTGCATTATGTTTCTCTGTGTCTGTCAGTCTGTGCCTTTCTGTCTGCATTATGTTTCTCTGTGTCTGTCAGTCTGTGCCTTTCTGTCTGCATTCTGTTTCTCTGTCTGTCAGTCTGTGCCTTTCTGTCTGCATTCTGTTGCTCTGTGTCTGTCAGGCTGTACCTTTCTGTCTGCATTCTATTTTTCTGTGTCAGTCTATGCCTATCTGTATGCATTCTGCTTTTCTGAGTCTGTGCCCCTGTGTATCTGTCTCTGTGCATATCTGTTTGCATTCTGCTTCTCTCTGTCTGTGCCTCCGTGTGTCAGTGTGTCTGTGCCTCTCTGTGCTGTGCCAGTATGGCTATGTTTTTGCCAAAAACACGGCAGCATCAGGGAAAGTAAAGCGGATATTAGACTAGCACCACAATGTTGTTTGTACACGTGACTCATCACAGAAAACAGGCTTCGTCTGTCGTCTTGAGTGATCGATCACTTAAGGATTAACAGGCTCTTAATTCACGCTGACCCACCTGATGAGATCCCATTCTTGTCACAGAGCCAGCTGCTTGTCATGGACACAGCTGTCCTGTCCCTCATTCTGTCAAACCCAATTAGAATTGATGTGCTGCAAGATGTTTGACGACATATTATATTATAAGACAGCTGAATTTGGGTCCCAAATCAAGTTTGCTTAGGCTAAACTGCACAAGTGCTTATCTTAATACAGTGTGTCTATGCAGGACTGTGTGTGTGTGTGTGTGTGTAGGCGGATCAGGAGTGTAATTATGGAACTGTTGTGTGTATAATGACTAATTTATTCTTCATTTCATAAAAATTTCAGTTCCTTTAGTTGGGGGATTTGTCCAACAAGAAACTGCTACTTTGCCCCGGAGGGGCTTTTTTTTTTTTTTTTTTTTTACCAGGGGCACCTTGTGAGGGGGTCAGGGGCTTTCTGAAACAACCCTTCAGGAGTAAAATCCAGATCATTCTGGAAAAAGCTGCCTTGACGATTTAATGCCTGACACAGTGTATAGGAGATAGACCACCTATTGTAAAATTTCTTTTTAACGCATCTGTCACAGTAACAGACAGGAGAAACACACAAATGCAGGCAGCCTGAATTGCCCCTCCTTTAAATTCCTTTAAATGATGTCTGAAAGTGAATTAGTGTCCCAATCCTAAAGTGAGCTAGTGTCCCATTCCTAAAGTGAGCTAGTGTCCCATTCCTAAGTTTAAATAAAACTTCATTTGTACTTTAGCGTGTGACATTTTTGGCTTATATTTGAGGCTGGGTATGCAAAGAGCAGAACGTAGTATAAAGCAGAGGTGTGTCTGAGAGGGTTTTCTCTTTCACTTGTACCTACCCTGCCCCCCCACAACGCATTTAATGCATCCCTGAATTTTCGATCCAAACGACTGGCGCTCTCATTCACAGAGACTCACTGAACCACAGACGCCTGACACAACACCAGGCTCCTTGCATCACCCTGGTTACAGGAAGTACGAGCTGGGATGCTGTGTTGGAAATAGTGATGGCAACAGTGTTTTTCTGATAACCAACATGGCTAGGCGGCTTTTGAGATGAGCAGTGGGGTCGAGGGTTTCCATGAACGGCACCGTTTTCTGTGTGTCCTCCAAGACCAGACTCTGGTGGCCTGGGGACGTTGGGGTTGGGGGGTGGCCAGAATGGTTACTGTATCTGGCTCAAGTTGCATCTGATGAAAAACTGAGGCGCATTAGGGTAGGACAGCAGTGTCCTAATGGAGTAATGGATAAATTAATGTGTTTCCCCATAAATGAGGTTGTAGTTGTTTTTGTCTTGGTGAGTGAAACACCTTTTTTTTACAAGAGTCCGACAGCAAAGTCCTGTCCTGGAGAACTTATTCAGGGCCAGCAGCACATGGCCCCATCCTTAAATTAAAGTGCAAAATGAAATAAAAATAAAGGGCAGAACAAACATGGTTAATTAATAATGCGATTGGAGTGCCAGGGGTCGTTGAGAGTGGGCAAGATGGAGGTGCTGTGGTGATTGGCTCCCAGCTAGCCAATCGGGTGGCTTTGCACTGGCAGTGGGCGGGGAATGTGTGAGGGACCTCCATCCGGTATGAAGGTGTGAGGAGATGCGAACGGCATGAGTCACAGAGCTGCTGGGCTGGGTGTATACGTGTGTGTGTGTGTGTGTGAGAGACAGCTCTCTGTTTCTGACGCAGAGCTGTTGAAAAGCCATCACAGAGGAGGGCGCCTCTCTGGGTTTAACCCCCCCCCCCCCCTCACCAGCATTATGATGGCAGGCACATCAGCCGGTGTGCCTCGCCGCACTCCCAGCCGTGCTCTGCCCCCCCAAGCCCAGCTCCTCTCCCCTGCGACGTGACCAGCCTGCCAATGGAGACAGCCAGAGGAGGAGGGCCCTAGCAGATTCCATTTCTCCTCCCTCTCATCCGGGGAAGGGGCGCAGAGGTCAGCAGATGAGCACCCCCTTAGTGGAGGGGGGAGCCAATCGCACCCAGCCTCACCCACGAGCGTGATACCAGTATGATTTCATCGCCTGCAACGCCGCCCCTGTTGCCATGGCACCTAGTAACCAGGCACAGATGTGGGAAGGCAGCACCCTACCTGCACCTGAACACCACTGGGGTGGGAGGTGTCTGTGGTCTGGCAGCAGGGATGCCGACAGTCTACCCTTTGTATGCACTTACCCTCTCACCCTGACCCTAATACCCATACACGCATGTGTCATGCTCACCCAGCTCTCTGTCGCCCCCTGCAGGCTGGAGTGGGTGGAGATCATCGAGCCGCGCACGCGGGAGCGCATGTACGCCAACCTGCTGACGGGCGAGTGCGTGTGGGACCCGCCGCAGGGCGTGCGCATCAAGCGCTCCGGTGACGACCAGTGGTGGGAGCTGTTCGACCCCAACACGTCCAGGTTCTACTACTACAGCGCCGCGTCCCAGCGCACCGTGTGGCACCGGCCCCGCGACTGCGACATCATCCCACTTGCCAAGCTGCAGACTCTCAAGCAGACCGCCGACGGCGAGCCCAATGCCGCCTCTCCGCCACGGCAACAGCGCCAAGCTCCCCGCCGCCGACGCGCCTCTGCTGACAGTAGCCCTGGCCGGGGCAGTGCTGTCAGCACCTCCTCCTCGCTGGACCAGGAGCTGGCAGACAAGCAGAGCACCATCACCACTGCAGAGGGGGAACGGTAAGGAGCTGGGGGTGAGGGGGGGCTTGGGGGGTAGAGATGTGGGCATGGCAGAAATCTGAAAGAGGGACAATCTGCTGGACCTTTGATCCCAGAATGACCCTGAATTCCTTCAGTAAAGAAACATTACTGAAGGTTGAAGGGGTCAAGCCCAGCTAGATGGGATGGCTACCTTAGTTCCACCCCACCCAACCCCCAAGCCCGTAACAGTGATGTGGGGTTTCCCAGCGTCCTCGAATGGAGTAGTCTGGAGAGGTGGGTGACGTCTGAAAGGGCCTGCATGCCAAATTGGGAGCACCAGAAATGCCCGGAATGTTCTGGACACCTCGCAGACTCATTGTCAGGAGCTCAGCAGGGGCATCCACTAACACAGTGGGGGGGGACTGAGGAATCTCCCATGATGCTTCTTGCTCTCCTTCCCCCAAACACGCTCTGTCATGCCAGCATTTCTCTCCTTTCTTTTTGCATTCCTGTGACATAATGCCGGCATTGCGCCACGACTCCCTCCCATCCACCTCTCCTTGCTACTGTTTTGTTTAATTGTCGCTTTGCCTGCGTCCATCACCATGGTTTCCATGCGTGCGTAGCGTGACCAGCCGTGCACAGGAAGCATACATTCCCTCTCCACTGCCAGCTTGTGTTTTTATACTTCACTTCCATTCAGCCTGGAGACAGAACACCAGGGGGCGATGATGAGTCACAGGATGGGTGGGCCCTCACAGCCAATACCACCTAACTACTGTTCACTAAATCCAATTAGCTTAGTGTCGTGAATATGGGCCAGGGCATCAGCCCGGGCAGCATTGGAGAGCCACGATTCTGGGGCAGCACAGGGTGCAGTGGTAGGAGGGCTTGTTCAGGGAGGCCTAAAAGCTCACATGTTAGTTGGAACCATTAAGAGATTGAACAATCGATTGGTCAATTGATTGGCCATCTCCTATTTCGGGCTCAGTCTGCGGTATCACCGATTTGCAGAGGAGAAGCCGCGGGAGGTTTAGGGTTTAAGGTTGTGACGAAAATGCCTTAGAGGTTGGAAGAAAATGAATGAACGAGTGTGCTGAAGGAGGAGAGTTCACAAGAGGTGCGGGGGTGTCAATGGGGCCAGGGAGCATGTAAACGACAGGCAAAGAAGTTGATGGGGAGGGAGAGGTGACCTTTTGCCCTTCCTGGTGAAGAAGCGCTTTGAGACCCGCACAGAGAGCCACCCTGAGCTTTCTGTTCCCATGGCGACATGCCAGTGGAGGTCAGCAGGGTCAGCGAGGCTCCTGACCAATGGAAATGTTGCTCCCAGTCTGCTTCCTGTTTTGGAGGGCTGGTCCCACTGCCGGCTACCTCGTTGGACCCACACTCCCCTATGGGTTTGGGGTGGCGGGGGGCATTAGAAGACGTGGGGTATTGTCCCATTGATTGGCGATGTCCCAGCACCACGTGGGGGGCAGTGGACCCATGAAACGGGCCCTTGTTTTCGTGCAAAGATGCGTGGGCGTCGGTCGACCTAATGAACAGCGAGCAGTCAGAGGCCGGCCTGCGGTGGGCAGCTGCAACTGTGACTCACCACCGGTCTGCGGTGCAGGGGCTTCTGGGAAAGGCTTCCCTTGCTGGCAGCGTTTATGAAAAGCAGCTCTTGTAAAGGCCTCCTGGCTCGTCGGCCACACAGGTAAACTGCATCGGGGAGCATGGAAGAACATCTACCAGGTCCTGGACAGAAATGTAGATTTTTTGGTTTCATCTAAGATGGGATTGGTCATCTCACTTGTGTCTCTGACACTGGGCTGGATCAGGTAGGACACATTGTCAATGATGACCCCCCCCCCCC